TTGGTATCAGTGGCAGGAATAGTGCCCCATCATTGATGTCAGTGGGAGGAATGGTGTCCCATCATTGGTGTCAGTGAGGGGTGGAATAGTGCCCCATCATTGGTGTCAGTGGGGGGTGGAATAGTGCCCCATCGTTGGTGTCAGTGGGGGGGGGAATAGTGCCCCATCATTGGTGTCAGTGGGGGGGAGGAATAGTGCCCCATCGTTGGTGTCAGTGGGAGGAATAGTGCCCCATCATTGGTATCAGTGACACCAATGATGGGGCACTATTCCTCCCACTGAGACTTGCTGACCCTGTTCTCGTATGGTGCTGCTGCAGCCAGCATATGTGGTTTGCAGCAGCACCTCTACACAGAACACTTACCTGCTGCTCCGGCACTCAATTTTTCGCGGGGTCGCTCGGCTCCGCCCCCTCGCCGGTGATTGGCCGCCTGTGTGCCTTTCCTGAGCTACAGTTCTGGTGGCCAATCACTGGTGAGGAGGCGGAGCCGAGCAGCCGCACGAACATCCAGTGGCCGAACTGAAGGAGACGCCGCGCTTCCTGGACCGGATCGTCGTGGGACTGGATCCAGGTAAGAGACATCAGCCCCTGCAAACCCCTGTACTTAATGCCGCAGCCCCCCTAAACATGTGTACCGGCGTATAAGACGACCCCCGACTTTTGAGAAGATTTCAAGGGTCAAAAAGTCGTCTTATACGCCGGCAAATACGGTATTTGATCCCCTACCAACCAACAATAATTCTGGCTCCCACAGACTGGCTATGTGCTCATGTGGAACACAGATTAGTCCTGTCAATTTAAGAAGGTGCTCCTAATGACAAAACGTTATGAGTATCAAAGACACCTGTCCACAGAATCTCTTTCTTCCATTCAAACCTCACCATTATGGGCAAAACCAAAGAGCTGTCAAAGGATGTCAGGGACCAGATTGTAGACCTGCACAAGGCTGGAATGGGCTACAAGACGAGAAGGAGACAATCGTTGGAGCGATTATTTGCAAATGGAAAAAATACAAAATAACCATCAATCACCCTCCGTCTGGAGCTCCATGCAAGATTTTGCCTCATGGGGTAAGGATGATCATGAGAAAAGTGAAGGATCAGCCCAGAACTACATGGGAGGAGTTTGTGAATGATCTCAAGGTAGTTGGGATAACAGTCACCAAACGAACCATTGATAACACAGTATGCCGCCATGGATTGAAATCCTGCAGCGCCTGCATGCTGAAGTTTGCCAATGAACATTTAAATGATTCACAGAAGGATTAGGAGAAAGTGCTGTGGTCAGATGAGACCAAAATTGATCTCCTTGGCATTAACTCAACTTGCTGTGTTTTATGGAAGAAAAATGCTGACTATGACCCTAAGAACACGATCCCTACAGTCAAGCACGGAGGTAGAAACATTATGCTTTGGGGCTGTTTCTCTGCTAAAGGTACAGGTCGACTTTGCCGTTTTGAGGGGCCAGTCGACGGGGCCATGTATTGTAAAAGTCTTGTAGAAAAATATACGGGGGGAGAGCTAAAACGTCGAGTTGGCAAGCGGCAGCCAAGAAACCTTAAGGAATTAGAGAAGATCTGTAAAGAAGAGTGGACCAAAATCCATCCTGAGATGTGTGCAAACCTTGCCAACAAGGGTTTCTCCACCAAGTACCAAGTTATGTTTTGCTTGGGGATCAAATACTTATTTTACTCACTGAACTGCAACTCAATTTAAAAATTTATATCATGTTTTTTCTGGATTTTTGGTTAATATTCTGTCTCTATCATTTAAAATACACTAATGCTAAAACATTATAGACCCTTCGCTTCTTTGTGAGTGGGCAAACTTACAAAATTTACAGGGAATCAAAAAATTACATACGCACACACATACACACACACACACACACACACTATATTGCCAAAAGTATTGGAACACCCCTCCAGATCATTGGATTCAGGTGTTCCAATCACCTCCATGGCCACAGGTGTATAAAATCAAGCACCTAGGCATGCAGACTGCTTCTACAAACATTTGTGAAAGAATGGGTCGCTCTCAGGAGCTCAGTGAATTCAAGCATAGTACCGTGATAGGTTTGCTACCTGTGCAATAAGTCAATCTGTGATATTTGCTTGCTACTAAATATTTCATGGTCAAATGTTAGTGGTATTATAACAAAGTGGAAGCAACTAGGAACAACAGCATGCAACAGGAAAAAATTACAGAGCGGGGTCAGCGCATGCTGAAGCACACAGTGCGCAGAAGTCGCCAACTGTCTGCAGCTAAATGTTTAGCTAAAGACCTCCAAACTTTGTGTGATCTTCAGATTAGCACAACAGTGCATAATAGAGAGCTTCATGGAATGGGTTTCCATGGCCGAGCAGCTGCAAGCTGAGGTAAGCTGCATCCAAGCCTTACCTCAATAAGTACAATGCAAAGCATCGGATGCAGTGGTGTAAAGCACGTCGCCACTAGACTGTAGAGCAGTGGAAACGTGTTCTTTGGAGTGACGAATCACGTTTATGTCTTGCAATCGGATAAAACAATTCTGGGTTTGGAAGCTGCCAGGAGAACGGTACTTGCCTAACTGCATTGTGCCAAATGTAAAGTTTGATGGAGTGGGGATTGTGGTGTGGGGTTGTTTTTCTGGGGTTGGTCTTGGCCCATTAGCTCCAATGAAGAGAACTCTTAAGGCGCCAACATACCAAAGCATTTTGGACAATTTCATATTTAGCAAAAAGCAGCACACATTACACATTAACACCTTCCCAGCCAGTGTCATTAGTACAATAACAGTGTATAGTATTATCACTGATCACTGTATTAATGTCACTGGTGGTGTCAGTGGCAGTTAGTTCCCACCCAGTGTCAGTTAGTGTCAGATTGCCTTCCGCACTATCACAGTCCCACTATAAGTCTCTGATCACTGCCATTATTAGTGTAAAAAAATCCAGTATATATACCATTGTTTGTAGATGCTATAGAAGCTCTATTTTTGTGAAAAAATTATATATATGTTGTTAGGGTACAGCGCTGCATAACCGCGCAATTATCAGTTAAAGTAGTGCAGTGCTAAGTATAAAAGAAACTGGCCTGGTCATGAAGGGGGTAAAACCTTCCGGAGCTGAAGTAGTTAAAATTCAACCCATCTTGGATATGTAGTTTAGATGACTGGCTGGATAAAACTACAAATCCTTTAGCAGGCAAAACAGTAAACATGTTTGTATTTAAATGTGCATACTGGGCATGAACATTTTAATTTAAATATATTCCTCATGAGCCACATATATACAGTCAGGTCCATAAATATTGGGACATCGACACAATTCTAACATTTTTGGCTCTATACACCACCACAATGGATTTGAAATGAAACGAACAAGATGTGCTTTAATCTGCAGACTGTCAGCTGTAATTTGAGGGTATTTACATCCAAATCAGGTGAACAGTGTAGGAATTACAACAGTTTGCATATGTGCCTCCCACTTGTTAAGGGACTAAACGTAATGGGACAGAATAATAATCATAAATCAAACTTTAACTTTTTAATACTTGGTTGCAAATCCTTTGCAGTCAATTACAGCCTGAAGTCTGGACAGCATAGACATCACCAGATACTGGGTTTCATCCCTGGTGATGCTCTGCCAGGCCTCTACTGCAACTGTCTTCAGTTCCTGCTTGTTCTTGGGGAATTTTCCCTTCAATTTTGTCTTCAACAAGTGAAATGCAAGCTCAATCAGATTCAGGTCAGATGATTGACTTGGCCATTGCATAACATTCCACTTCTTTCCCTTAAAAAACTCTTTGGTTGCTTTTGCAGTATGCTTTGGGTCATTGTCCATCTGCACTGTGAAGTGGCGTCCAATGAGTTCTGAAGCATTTGGCTGAATATGAGCAGATAATATTCCCGAAACACTTCAGAATTCATCCTGCTGCTTTTGTCAGCAGTCACATCATCAATAAATACAAGAGAACCAGTTCCATTGGCAGCCATACATGCCCACGCCATGACACTACCACTACCATGCTTCACTGATGAGGTGGTATGCTTAGGATCATGAGCAGTTCCTTTCCTTCTCCATACTCTTTTCTTCCCATCACTCTGGTACAAGTTGATCTTGGTCTCATCTGTCCATAGGATGTTGTTCCAGAACTGTGAAGGCTTTTTTAGATGTTGTTTGGCAAACTCTAATCTGGCCTTCCCGTTTTTGAGGCTCACCAATGGTTTACATCTTGTGGTGAACCCTCTGTATTCACTCTGGTGAAATCGTCTCTTGATTGTTGACTTTGACACACATACACCTACCTCCTGGAGAGTGTTCTTGATCTGGCCAACTGTTGTGAAGGGTGTTTTCTTCACTAGGGAAAGAATTCTTCAGTCATCCACCACAGTTGTTTTCCGTGGTCTTCCGGGTCTTTTGGTGTTGCTGAGCTCACTGGTGCGTTCTTTCTTTTTAAGAATGTTCCAAACAGTTGTTTTGGCCACGCCTAATGTTTTTGCTATCTCGCTGATGGGTTTGTTTTGTTTTTTCAGCCTAATGATGGCTTGCTTCACTGATAGTGACAGCTCTTTGGATCTCATCTTGAGAGTTGACAGCAAAAGATTCCAAATGCAAATTGCACACTTCCTACACCGTTCACCTGATTTGGATGTAAATACCCTCAAATTAAAGCTGGCAGTCTGCAGTGAAAGCACATATTGTTTGTTTCATTTTAAAGCCATTGTGGTGGTGTATAGAGCCAAAAATGTTAGAATTGTGTCGATGTCCCAATATTTATAGACCTGACTGTAAATCTACTATGTGTGCACCAAATGTCCTAGGAACCCATATATTACCTTATAAAAGTAGTGGTGACATCATAGCTGTCCTGCACTCAGCCTGTACAGAGAGCTGCCAGATTTGCTCCACAGGCTCTGCTTCCTGATTGGAAATACTGCACAAAGGTTGCATTTTACTTTATTTTCCTACAATGCACTTCTGTAGTTTTGCTGATTTTTTTTTTTCTTTTTTATGCAGTGATGATGCAGGAATCCAAACTGACAAACTTCCAGCAACGTCAGATAAGAGAGCGTTTACAGAGTAAGAGTTCTCTAAATTCTTCCTGCATTTCTGGTTAGGGGTATATTTAGAAAGCTTTGAATGTGACATTCATCAAACATTCACTGCATGTGTATCTTCCTGGGGTATGTGCTTTAAATTACAGTGATTGATTCACCACCACAGAATGTTTGGTTAGTGTCAAATGCAATGCTTTAGAAAAATGCCCCTATAAGTCTTTCTTTTATTATGGTAAATTTATATTGCATGGATTACCCTCTCGGCAACAACACTGCCAAACATTCCTCTTCTGAATTCCACTGAGAAACCAACACTCCAGAAACGTCAATCTCTTTGGTCACCCAGTGCACTCAGTGGTTCCTTGTGTTATACATTAGCAACACTACCAGAATTGCTGCATTGTATTGCCGTACCTGAAGTGTTGGAATCTGGGCACATGCAAGTGAAAGAAAAAATGACACTGTCTGGAGGCATGGAGGAGCTCAGATATGAGGAAAGATTAGATAAACTGAATATTTGGAGATTAAGTGGGGTATGATCAACAAGTATAAATACATAGGTGGTCTATATAGTGAACTTGGTGTAGAGTTATTCACTTTCAGGTCATTCCAAAAGACAAGGGGGCATGCTTTATGTCTGGAGGAAAAGAGATTTAACCTCCACATACAGAACAGCTTCTTCACACTAAGGGCCCAATTCACACCAGATGCAGTGGGACTGCATTGGGTGGCTATTCCTGCATGACATGCAGACACACTCGGGTGCCGTGGCATCCTGGTTGGATAATTGCTCTGCACATTACTGTTAGCAGTCACTCTTCTGGTCTCAGCCCTGTATAGTATCCATGATCGAATCTCTCTTCAGAGGCATTTGACAGGTGGCAAGGTGGTGATATGTTGCCCCCTCACCATCTGTTTTAAAACCCTAAATGTAGTTGGTGGAGGGGGGGGGGGTGGCGGCGGTTGCAGTGTGGTCCCATTCACTTGAATGAGTTGCGTTTGGGGTTGGTAATGCAACAGGGAGTAGAATCACCACAGCCGCAAAGCATCGCAGCTACAGCATGTGTACACCCCTGGCTGCTGGCTGCTGCCTCTGCAGCTAAAGGTAAAATAGTTGGGGGGTAAAAAGTTAACTCAACCACATTTTTTCACTGTCCCACAGCTTCAAGTGTGAACAAGCTCTTACATTAGGGTTTCTTGAGACTGAAAGGGCACCATGACTGAAACAAGATTGAGAAACATTGATCTAAAACATAGGCTAATGTACACCTATATAGATGGAATAATGTTTTAATATTAAAACACATTCTAAAATGTGCATAGATGTAAATGTGCTCTGGATTGCAGTTTGCGCTACACATTTGCACTTTATTTCTACAGTGTACACTGCATGTTGTGCTGCACCCATCCAGTGTGCTCTGCACGTTCCACTGCACCCATCCAGTGCATGCTGCAGATCACATTGTACCCAATACATGTCACACTGCACCCATCCAGTGCACACTTCACTCTGCACTTGTCCAGTGTGTACTGCACGTAACACTATGCCTGTCCCATCCAGTGCGCACTGTATGTCACACTTCACCCTTTTAATGGTGCTGCTTGTCACAATGCTCCTATCCAGTTTGCACTGCAGGCCCTAGAAGGTGCTCTACACCTCACACTGCACCCATCCAATGCGCGCTACAGCTCACACTGCACCAATCCAGTACACACTGCCCATCACACTGCACGCTCTAGAAGGTGCCCTACACCTCACACATCCAGTGCGCACTACAGCTAACACTGCACCAATCCAGTGAACACTGCACCCATCCAGTGCGCACTGCCCAATCTTCCTGCACACATCCAGTGCTCACCACATGTCAAACTGCACCCATCTAGTGCAAACCCCACGTCACACTGCTTCCATCCAGCATGCAACGCATATCACACTGCATCCATTCAGTGCGCATGTAACACTGCACTCATTCATTGCGCACTGGATGGGCGCACTGCGATAATGCAGTGCACACTGCATGACACACTGCACCCATCCAGCAAGCACTGCACATCACACTACACCCATCCAGTGCACATGGCACAATGTTTAAAAGAGTCAGAAGTATGATTAACCGTGCTTGTGTTGTCCTCTTTGCATTTTCCTGACAAAAGTACTGTAATTCTAAATGTGTGTGTGTATGGGGGGGGGGGGGGGGGGGGGGGCTCACAGGAGCACTCTTCTTGTGCTGCTCGCACATGTATTGTCTGTTTACCTGCTGGGAGCGGCAGTGATGTGAGAAAAAGGCCCCACTTCCAATTGTTCATAGAGCGTAGGACAGGACTTTCATAACATATAATAAGTTAAAATCATTATTGAAGGCCTCGTTCTGACACTGCTGGTTAACAGACAGGGTATGTGTGAGCAGCACAGGGACAAAACTTCTGTGAGAGTGCCTGTGCTGTTAGACACTAAACTCACAACCCCATTTTTGGTAGAAAATTGATTGGTTTAGTTTGGAATGAGCTGTCACATACTGGAACTCTACAGCTCCTAAAAAGATTGGCCAAAGTGCTAGATGTAGTTTGTACCTAGGGGAAAGGAGCATCAAATCATAAATGAAGAGATACTTCTTCTTTAAAATGGAACTGTATTGCATCTGAGCACCACAAACCAAAAATACTATTTAATTTGTTGGTAATATTCAAAGCAAACACACCCATCCATTCATGTCTGCATGCTTTATTTTGCAAAGAAATCACTTTGACTTCACCCGCTAGCATTTCTGGCAGTGACCATCTTGAATAAGGGCAGATGATTCATGTAGCATTTACTTCCTGGAATCTACCTGCCCATAACTCAGGCACTGGCTGAGCTGAGAACCCTCCCTTCTCTCCTGAAGACTGCTGGGATGTATGACATCATTGTTCTAGGCACAAAAACCAGGGAGTAACTGAACAAACGTATAAATAAGTTTAAAACAAGTAAATATGATATACTTTCCTATCCACTTACTGATGCTAGCAGCATAAGGAAATAAAAAGATTGAATGAGGACTGAGAGAGTGAAGTTCCACTTTAGGCAGCTTACTTTGTAACAGTGTTATTTTGTGATACGATCTGTGGCATTTCCTGTTTCTTACCAACAATAATTATATGTTTTAATGTCAAGCTAAACCAATTTATGATTTTTATCTGCCAAATCATCTTCATATTTCATTTTAATAGATGGGGATACACTGCCAGTTCTATGTCATCCCAGCTCCAGCCTTGCCCAACATAAACCTCCAACCTCTGAATCTACACCAAAGAAAAAAACCATTACAAATGCCAGATCAGGCTTACGCCCTGCAGAGAAATGCAGAGCAGGAGATGCTTACAGCAGAGAGAAATTTCAACCCCGACCAACCCGTAAGTGCTGACACACACAATGTTATCTATTACCTGGAGTACTCTATATCTGCTGTTTTCAAGATAAGTTGTTATATAACATTTGGTCAACTGACAAGATTGTTTTTTGCACCAATGAAAAACTGACCCTCAGGAAGCCATCATAATTATAATTAGAGTGAGACTGTTTAAAACTTCAGTGTAATAATCTCTGATATTATTCAAGGCTATAGCTGGGTACACTCTCAGTTTTTAGATTTCTGCATCCACACAAGAGATATGGATACAGTAATCTAACAAATTGGTCTTCTGTTGAACTGGGAGGGCTACACACAGATTGAAATTCGGCCAATACCCGCTGAACCAGCTAAATTTCAATCTGTTTGTATCCACTTTTTTTTTTTCAACAAACTGGAATTTTTTTATTAACATCAAGCTTACAGTACAACATAAACACAGAGAACGACATGGTACAATGCCAAAAATAATCATCGGACAAAATAAACAAGTGTGTACCCAACTTTAGATGATGTCATCTCCTATCGCCTCTGATGTCTACTACCTCTAGAGGGATTGTAAATGAAAAGGGAAATTAAGGTATATCTAAAGCAAAAACAATATCTTTAGATAGAGTGCAGAAGAGTTAAAACCTCTCAATTTTTCTTCTGCAATGTCTGCACCATTGGAGAGATTATTATTATTGTACAGGATTTATATAGCGCCAACAGTTTGTACAGCACTTTACGATATAAGGAGACAGTACAGTTACAGTTACAATACAATAAAATACAATAAAAAACAAGAGGATTAAGAGGGCCCTGCTCATAAGAGCTTACAATCTAATAGGGTGGGGCAAGTGGTACAAAGGGTTATAATTATGAGGGATGAGCTGATGAAAGTGATAAATGTCCAGCTGGAGATGTGATAGACTTCCCTGAGGAGATGATTTTTCAGGGATTGCCTAAAGACATCAAGGAGTAGGGGATAGCCGGACAGATTGCGGTAGAGCGAGTGTTGATAGATCACCAGCTTCAAGAGGGCGGAGCCCGAGTATGGCGGCGCAGGAGAGCTCGCTGTGAGTGCTCTTCAGCAACCTCCATAGAACCACCCCGAGAACCCACATGTAACGGTGCGTGGAGCCCTACCTGGGTTAGCTGAGCCTTGGCTGTGAGATGCTGGAGCTGGGAGAGGGGCAGAAGAGGAAGCGGGCCCTGATCCCCAGGAGACGATCCCTCAGCAATCCAAGAGACGGTGGTGGGTTGCCGAGGTGATGGAGTGACGTGGCGTGACCACGTGGTCAGCCGCAAAGGAGCATTGGGAAGGGGAGAAGCTGGCCGGCACTCACAGAGGAGAGGGAGATGCCGGTCTAATCCCTAACCTGCTGGGCAGCAGAGGCAGCGGTCGGACGTCCATCGGCAGACAGCAGGGGACTGCAGGGACCCTGAAGGAATCCCCTTGGGACACATTCCGGGAGAGAGAGGCGGACAGCCATGGTCTGGGGCCAGCTCACAGGAGAAATTCATGAAGGAGGGTGGGTGAAGACGGCCCAGGTCAATAGCAAAATGTAAAAGTATGGTGTCTTGGACTGTGGGATGTATATTTATAAATCCTGTAAAGGAGAGCAGGGGGATTCCCAGGGGGATTTAAGACTTTGGAAAAAGATAAGAGGTTACTGGCTCTGGAAGAGAGGAGGAAAGGAAGGCACCCTAATATATATCCTAAAGTCTCCCTCTAGGTTGATTAAAGAGAAACAGCTACACAGAAGAGATGAAGATTAAGGGCGCTAAAGGAAGCAGACTTAAAGGGTCCCAGACGGGTACGATTAAAAAATATACGTCCCAGGGGAATGTGACTCCAGAAAGGTCCCAAGGTGGAAGTGAAAAAGGGGAAATGGAAATTAGCCTGGAAAACAGCCCTAGATTATCGTTGGGCCTGACTAGTAGTAGCCAACAAATGTCAGAAAACATAGAAAGGAAGGGCCTGGAAAATGATTTACAAGTACCGAATAAAAGAGAAATGGCAGAAATGTTCAAAAACCTGGAAAAAGCCTTAAAGCAAGAAATGACAACCATACGACAGGATTTGGGGCATTTTTGTTACTGAGAGTGGAAGAAACGGAGGGAAAAGTTAAAAAAAAACCATACCCAAAATATCTTAGATTTAGAAAAAAGGACTGCTACTATTGGGAACACTCAGAAAAAATTGCTGTATAAGATGGAAGTACAAGAAAACAGGGATAGGAGAAGCAACCTTAGGATACAAGGAATCCCAGAAATCTTTAAAGGAGGAGAATTGAGAGAAACAGTTTGTAAAATGTTTAACTCCATTCTGGATAGACCTGAAACAGAGTTAGTTACGTTGGAGGGTTTCTATAGATCAGGAAAGTTTCACCAAGGAAAGGAGAAGGAATAACCAAGAGATACAATTGCTCAACTGCACAAGCATGGGGATAAGGAGGAGATTTGGAGAAGGATCAAAGGAAAAACAATCATTAAGTATTGAGAAATGAACATTCAGATCTTTGCGGACTTATCGCCTGAGACTTTGTGGAGAAGGAGATCTTTGAAACCCCTGCTAGAGCAGATGAGACAACGGAATGTACACTATAGATGGGGTAACCCAGCGTGTTTAATCGGATGGAAGAATGGTGTTACAGCGTATCTAAGATTTCCAGAGGACCTGAGAGACTTCTGTAATAGACTGGAATTACATAGAACAGTTATTAGTGGGTGGAAAGAAGAGGGAGAAATGGATGTTAGGGGAAAGGATGTTTGTCAGACTGTTAGAACGGGGAAATGAGGAGGAGTAGAGAGAGTGTGTGGGTTTTTTTTTTTTTTTCTTCTTCTTCCTCACGCACCGTGAAAAATAAAGTTAATAGAAATAAACAGATAGATGGAGGGTAATTGGGGTGGTTGGAGGGAGGGAGTGCCTTTCATGTGTGGAGTTTAGCCCTAAGGTTCAATCAGGGTGGGTATAGACCCACAAATGATTAATAGGCAAATTAGAGGCCTAAAAATGGGAGGGGTAGTGGGGGGGTGGGTAATGGGAGGGGAGGGGAGGGGTGTGGGATGGGAAGGGGAGTAACAGGGGAGGGTGGGTGGGAGGTAATGGAGAGGGGGTATTAACGTTAACACTCTGCGTAAGGAAGGGAAGTACAAGGGAATTGAGGGTGGAAAAGAGGAAATTGAGGGAGAAAAAAAGAGATACAAGAAGTATGGAAGATCTACGGTTTATAACATATAATGTAAATGGGTTGAATTGTCCTGGGAAAAGATTTAAGCTATTCAAGGAGTTGCAACATAGAGAAGCTTCGGTGGTCTTTTTACAGGAGACACATCTTGAGATTAAGTCAAATATTAAGTTGAATTCTAGAAACTATCCAACATGGTTTTATGCAGATTCCCCAATTAAGAGAGCTAAGGGAGTAGCAATAGGGTTTGCAAAAACATAAGGCTTGAGTTGGAGGAAAGAGAAATAGATCCTGAGGGGAGATTTTTGTTTTTGAGAGGTAGGTTGCAGGAAATGGAATGTACAATTGCGAATATTTATTGCCCAAATAAGAGACCGGAGTTATATTTGAAAGGTGTTTTGAGAAAATTGATGGCCTTCAAAAAGGGGCGCTTGATAGTGGCAGGGGACTTGAATTTCTGTATGGATCCACAAATGGATACAACCTCTTCTGTGCAGCGAGAGGGAGGTAGGTCTCTGAGAACTTTAAAGAAGGTGATGCATGAGTGCCAACTGGTGGATATTGGAGAATAATACATGGAAAAGAGAGAGAGAGAGACTATACCTTTTTCTCTAACGCACACGAGATGTACTTGAGACTGGACTATATATTGGTGGACCATCAACTTATTGAGAGAGTGGCTAAAGTAGAGATAGAGGCAATGTCTCTCTCAGACCATTCCCCTGTTACATTGAAATTAGGGGGGGGGGGAGGTAGGTGACAGGTGGTATAGGATGGAAGTTGAATGAATCAGGAGATTGATCAGAAGATTAGGGAAGAGATTGAAAGATTTTTTCAGGAGAATGAGACAGGGGAAGTGTCGGTGGCTACAGTATGGGAGTCCCACAAGGCCTACATAAGAGGTATATTGATTGCGTCCGGGGCAAAAAAGAAAAGGGAAAGAAGAGAGAAACTTACTGGGCTGTTAAAAGAAATATTTGACCTGGAGCAGATACATAAAAATAGAATAACAAAAGAGACAAGACAGAAGGTAACAAAAAAGAAAGAAGAACTAGAGATGCTGATGGAAGAGGAGAGGAGAAGAGTTTTTAATAAAGTGGCAAGTGAGAGGTATAGATGGGGAGATAGACCAGGAAAATATTTGATGAGAGTCTTGAGGAAAAAGAAAAACAGGAATTATAGAAAAAATAAGAAACCCCAAGGGAGAAATGGTTTATTCTACTAATGAGATCGCCAAGGTGTTTAAGGAATATTATAGCAAGCTGTATAATATTACTTCCCGGGATTCAGTAAATAAAAGTGGAAATGCGAGTAGAGAAAAAAGAAGGATATATCTAAAAAACGCTGGACTATCGAAGTTAAGTGAAGATCAACTGAATTCCCTTGATTTAGAAATTACGCAGGAGGAAATAAAAATAGCATTAAAAAGTACCATGATGGGGAAAAGCCCAGGCCCAGATGGTTATACTGTGAGGTACTATAAAAAATATAGTGAATTGTTAATACTGAAATTGAAGAAATTTATGAACGCCCTAGGTGGGGAGATGGGAGATGAGGCGAGAATCTTTACAGGCCCATGTGGTGCTTATTCAAAAGGAAGGGAAGGATGCTTCTCAGTGCTCTAGCTATAGACCAATCTCACTTTTGAACATAGACACTAAGTTATATGCAAAGGTTTTGGCAAATAGGTTGAAATATTTAATGCCAAAATGGATCCGGGGGGACCAGGTGGGATTTGTACCAGGGAGGAAGGGTAGTAGAGACAATGGGTTGAGAACTTTGTTGCTTATCCAGAAAGCTAGGAAGGGGAAAAACTCCGGCGGTGGTGCTT